CACACACACACACACACACACACACACACACACACACACACACTACGCCCTTGTCTTGGGATTCTGTCCTGCCCTTTTCCTACATGACTCTAATATTCCATAAACTCACTAACTTTGCTTCTTTCTGTCTCATCCTGAATTCTTTCTGGTGATATATAGTCATGGATCCAGTTTTTTTCTGGATGGAGGTCCCTGAGGAGGAGGGGAGCCCCTCTGCTGCTGGTGACTGTTGGGCTGTCTCCTTGTGGTGGGAAGTTACCGTTATGACTCAGCAATCTCATTCCTAGCAGTGCACCCAAGAGAATTTAAAATATATGCTCAGACATGTAAATTTTCAGTGTCATTAATCAAAATATCCCCAAATTATAAACTATCCCATCTATACTGATGAAAAGCTAAGTAAAATGTATACTCATACAATTAAATGTTCACCTGAAAAAGGAATGAAATTTTGGTGCATACCCACAACATTAATAAGTCTTTAAAGAATTGTGCTAGGTAAAAGAAGGTAGCATAAAAGACCAAATATTATGTGTGTGCACATGTATGCGTTGGTACACATATGACGTGTAAGCACGTGACAGCCAGAGGCCAACAACAGGTGTTTTCCTCAGTCATTGTCCATCTTCTTTCTTTTTTTTGAGTCAGGGCCCCTCACTGACGTGGAGCTCACTGATAGGCTAGACTGACTGGCCAGGGATCTTCCTTTCTCCACCTAGATATGGCTCAGATCACAGGCACATGCACTGTACTAGCTGAGCCATCACCTCAACCCAAGACCATATACTATATGATTCCATTTACATTCATTATACAGAAAAGAGAAAAAGTAAATTAGTGGTTCTCAGGGTTGGAAAAGGGGGAAATATGAGGAGCTATCACTAATAGGTATTAAATTCCTTACAGAACTGATGAAAATATTTTGGATTTGATAGTGGGGTTGTTATACAACCTTGTAAATATCCTCAAAACACTGACATATATAATTTAAAGGAGTTACTTTTTAGTACATTTATTTATTTTGTGGATGTATGTGAATGTGGGTGCATGTGTCACTGCAGACATATGGAGGTCAGAGGGCAACTTTTGGGAGTCGGTTCTTTCCTTTCACCATGTGGGTTCTTCGGATTGAATTGAACTCAGGTTAGCAGGCTTGGTGGCAAGTGCTCTTACCCACCAAGCCATATCACCAGCCCAAGTGTTATTTTTGTTGTGGAGTTTTGGGTTTTTGTTGTTGTTTAGTGTATCTGTATGTGTGTGTGTGCTACATGTATGCAGGTGTCCTTGGAGGCCAGAGAAGGGCATCAGATTCTCTGGAGCTGGAGTTACAGGCAGTTTTGAGCTGCCTGATATGGAAGTTGGGAATCAAACTCAGGTCCTCTGGAAGATCAGTAAGCATTCAACTGCTATGCCATCT